TTAAAAACTTGCTCCTATTGAAAGACTACTAAAATGAGTAGGCAAGCCACAGACTAGAGGAAATACTTGTAATACCTGTATCAAATGAAAGACTTCTATTCAGAATATGTAAAGAATTCCTAAGGAAACAATACATTAACCCCATAAAAGATGAGTAAAACATCTGAACAGATATGTCTGAAGAAAATATAAAAAGCACTTGGAAAAGTTCTTAACATCATTAGTCATAAAAGAAATCTAAATTGAAACTGCTAAGATATACTACTATTCTTAACAGAATATTTCAGAATGACCAAAATGAAAATATTGATAACATTAAAATGTAGAGGAGAATGTGGGAGCAATCAAAATTCTCATAGATTGCTTGTAAAAGTTTAAAATGGTATGATAACTTTTAAAAACTGGCAGTTTCTACAATGTGAAATGTAAACCTGCCCTACAAATGAGCAATACCATCTAATAGGTGTTTACTGAGCAGAAATAAAAACATATATTCACAAAAATATTTTTACAAGAACATTCACAGTAGCTTTATTGATAATAGACCCAGGAACCTTGGTGGTCCAGTAGTTAAGACTCCACACTTCCACTACAGGGGGAGTGGGCTTGACCCCTGGTCAGGGAATTAAGATCCATATGCCATACAGCATGGCCAAACACAAACAAAAACATAATAGCCCCAAACTGGAACATTTCAAATGTCTATCAATAGGAGATGTATAAACAAACTGATATCTCCATACAACTGAGTACTATTCTGCAACTTAAATAAGCTATTTTAACATAAATACTGAAACATGTATTAATACCTCAGTCATTAAGCTGAGTGAAAGAAAGTAAACATGGATCTGGTTTAAGATGGTGAAGTAGGAAGATGTATGCTCATTTCCTCCAGCTACAGTACCAAAATTGCAACTAGCTGTTGAACTACCATTGACAGGAGGACACTGGAACCCACTAAAAAAAGATACATTATATCCAAAGACAAACAAACCACAGCAAGACAGTAGGGGGCGCGCAATCACGATAAAATCAAACCCCATACCTGCTGGTTGGGTGACCCACAGACTGGAGAACGATAATACCAAAGAAGTTCTCACATTACTGTGAAGGTTCTGAACGCCACATCAGGCTTCCCAGCCTGGGGATCCAACAAAGGGACTGAGAATCCCCAGGGAATTTGGCCTTGAGGGCCAGAGGGATTTGATTATAGGCTTCTTTAATTATAGGATTTTCAGAGGACTGAGGGAAACAGAAACTTGTCTTAGAGGGCACAAACAAAATTTCACATGCACCGAGACCCAGAGGAGAGGAGCAGTGATCACACAGGAGACTGAACCCAAACTACCTGCTAGTGTTGGAGGGCCGCCTGTGGAGGCATGGGTCAGCAGGCGTTCACCACAGGGACAGGGGCACTGGAAGGACCCCTTGGCATAAACCCTCTTGGAGTTTGCCATTAACCCTATCATAGAGCTAGTAGAGCTAGGGCTGGGTTGCCTCAGGCCAAACAACTACTAGGGAGGGATGCAACCCCACTCATCAGCAAATAATTGGATTAAAGCTTTATTGAGCAAGACCCTGCCCATCAGAGCAAGAACCAGTTTTTTCCATCCAAGTCCTTCCCATCAAGAAGCATACACAAGCCTCTTAGCCTCATCCATCAGGGAGCAGACAGAAGAAGCAAGAAGAAGCACAGTCTCACAGTGCCGAAAACAGAAACCAAATTACAGAAAGTTAATTATGATGAAAAAGCAGAAAGTTTTGTTCCAGATGAAGGGAAAGATAAATTCCCAGAAAAACAACTAAATGAAGTGGAGCTAGGCAACTTTCCAGAAAAAGAATTCAGATTAATGATATGATGATCTAGGATCTTGGGAAAAGAACAGAGGCAAAGATTGAGAAGATGCAAGAAATGTATACAAAAGACCTTGAAGAACTAAAGAACAGACAAACAGATGAATAATACACTAGAAAGAATCAGTAGCAGAATAACTGACACAGAAGAACGGATAAATGACCTGAAGGACAGAATGGTGGAAATCACTGCCACAGAACAGAATACAGGAAAAAAGAATGAAAAGAAATGAAGACAGCCTAAGAGACCTCTGGAACAACATTAAATGCGCCAACATTCACATTATAGGAGTCCCAGAAGGAGAAGAAAGAAAGGACCTGAGAAAATATTTCAAGAGGTAACAGCTGAAAAACTTCCCAAACACGGGAAAGGAAATAGTCAACCAAGTCCAGGAAGCACAGAGTCCCAGGAAAGATAAACCCAAGGAGGAACACACCGAGACACACAGTAATCAAACTGACAAAAATTAAAGACAGAGATAAAATATTAAAAGCAACAAGGGGAAAATGACAAATAATATACAAGGGAACTCCCATCAGGCTATCAGCTGATTTCTCAACAGAAACTCTACATCCCAGAAGGGAATGGCATGATATATTTAAAGTGATGAAAGGTAAGAACCTACAACCAAGAATACTCTACCCAGCAAGACTCTCCTTCAGATTTGACAGAGAAATCAAAAGTTTTCCAGACAAGCAAAAGTTAAGAGAATTCAGCACCACCAAACCAGTTTTACAACTAAGGCAAAAGGAACTTCTTTAGGCAGGAAACCCAAGAGAAGAAAAAGACCTACAGAAAAACCCAAAACAATTGAGAAAACAGTAATAGGATCATACATATTGATAATTACCTTAAATGTAAATGTATTAAATGCACCAACCAAGAGACATATACTGACTGGGTGGATGAAAACATGTGCATGTATGCACTTCCACTTACTACATCACTCTGACTGACACCCCCCCCCCCAAATTGCATGTAATTATTTTAGAATGTTAGGTTAATCATGTTCCCATTATGGTTTGCAATTATAATTAGCTTTTATTTTTTGTCTGGCTATTGATTATGAAACTGATAAACATCTTTTACTTTGTGATTATGTAACTGTTACTCACTTAACACCATTGTATCATGATTGGTCAACAATTGGTCAAAAATAATAGAACTCTGTATCACCGAAACTAGGATCAAATAGAAAAACCTGTAATCACTTTTTAAAATCCAGATGCATATCGGAATTATCTTGAAATTTTTTGAAAAATACAAATGTTCAGGTACTGCTTTTTTTGTCCAGAGCTCCAGATATGTTTCTAATGAGCAGTCATATTTAAAAACAACTGGACTATATGATGATCTTTTACTTTTATCTAGTTTGTTCCACTTTTTCTATTTCATATTCAGTGCTTCCATTTCATTTATGTTCTCCAACTTCTCCATCTCTTCATTTTTTTTTGAAGTTTTTCTCAAGCCTTTATCAAGTGTAGTAGAAAAGCTTTTGTATACATATATATATATGTATAATACATGTATTTTAGAAAACATGAATTTTTGCCTAACTAAAAAAATTATGACATTTTGATTCCACTTGTTTGACTTAGTATGAATAGAATGCTAGGTTTCTAATTAAAAAATAGGTATGCAACAAGCAACAAAAGTCTCTGTATAGCATAGGGAACTATAGTCAATATTTGTAATAATATATGATGGAAAATAACTTCAAAAATAATATATGTGTATTTGTATAACTGAATCACCTTGCTGTGTACTTGAAACATTGTAAAAGTGAACATGAAAGTCTCTCAATCATGTCTGACTCTTTGCGACCCCATGGACTATACACTCCAGGGAATTCTCTTAGGCCAGAATACTGGAGTGGGTAGCTGTAGGGATATTCCCAACTCAGGAAAGAAACATTGTAAGTCAACTACATTTCAATAAAGTAAATATATATATTTTTTAAGTATACATGAAAAAAGTCCAGAATAGACAGAACTAATCTGTGTTGGTAGAAATCCCAGTAGTGATTGTCCTGGGGAGAGATTGCCTTGGAAGAGGGCTGATGGAACTTAACAGGTTAGTAGGAGCGCCCTTTATCTTGATTACAGTGTGAGACACATGGGTTTCCACTTCTGTCAGAATGCAAAGAACTTTACACTTAAGATCTTTATGGACATTGTATCTACAAAGCATGGACTGGATTCTCAGTAAAATAATAGCAGCCAATAGCTCATAAGCATAAGTCACACAAGTAAAGGATTTATGTAGAGATTAATATTAAAAAAAATTTAGAATTTAGAGGCATAGAAGTCAGCCATATACAGGTACTTCAGAGATCTCAAGCCTTTAAAAGTACATTCCTAAATAAGATGGCTACTATTAGGAAAAAAAGAAAATAATAGTTGTTGATAAGGACGCAGAGAAACTGGAACCCTTCTGCCTTGTTGATAAGAATGTAAAATGGTGTAGTCACTATGGAAAACAGTATGGCAGTTCCTTTCAACATCAGACATAAATTACCAAATGATCCAGCAATTCTACTTTTGGGTATATACCCAAAAGAACTGAAAGCAATGACTCAAACAGATAATTGTACACCCATATTCATAGTAGCATTAATCACAGCAGCCAAAAAATGGAAGCAACCCAAGTGTTCACTGAGAGCTGAATGGATAAGCAAAATGTCACATGTATCTATAATGGAATATTACTCAGCCTTCAAACAGAAGAAGAGTCTGATACATACTATACCATGGATGAAACTTGAGGACATTCCGTTAAGTGAAATAAACTATTCACAAAAAAGGACAAATAACATATAATTCACTTACATGAGGTATCTACCACAGTCAAATTCACAGAGACAGAAAGTAAAATATTGGTTGTTGGGGGCTAATGGAGGTAGGGTAACAGGGAGTTATTGTTTAATGGGTACAGTTTTACTTCTGACAAATGAAGGGTTCTGGAGATGGATAATGGTGATAGTTGCATAACTATGTAAAAGTACTTAATGCCATGGAACTATATGCTTAAAAATGGTTAAGATGGTAGATTTTATGTAATTTTACCACAATTAAAAAAATACAGATCTCCAGAAATACTCAAGGACATCAACTACCTGAGTCCACTAGACATTATACAGACTCACCTAGGTAACTCTGACTTTGAAAAATTTTCTCTGTTGTCCATAGTTCTTTTCCTTGTTCCAATTTGCGGATCATATCAGGCTTAGTTATGTGAAATCCTGATAATAAAAAATAAGACTTGGTCTAAGAAGCTGTTAGGCTTTAAAACTATTGAAGGAAGAGAAAGATACAGCTTCAAGGTGGCTATTAGACAAGGCTATTAATGTCCTACCAAAGTTAATACCTTGCACTAGGCAAGTGAGGACATAATCATGCTTTCTATTAACAAAAAGATTATTCATCACCTCTGATCTTTGAAATTCAAAGTTCCACAGTTTCAGAAATTCTTGAAAGGAGGTGCATGACACTGAAACATGCAAGGAATTTTCCTTACCCACAGAGATGAGGTGACAATAGTTTTCCAACATGACATCTCTGTAGAGGGCCTTCTGAGCAGGGTCCAGTTGCTGCCACTCCTCCTGGGTGAAGTCCACAGTCACATCCTTGAATGAAACTGATCCCTGTAAGGGCATACTCCAGTTCATCCTAAAGTAATTGGAACTAGTGAGAACTAGACACTGGAGACCATGTTCAGTGGTCAGACCTGGTCTTCTTGCATTTTGTACTGTAGAAAATTCTCTCTGGAAATACATTCAATTGTATTTACCTATTATCTCATGCTAAAAATATATGAGATCATACTCTTTGCCTTGAATGTGATTGGTTGCTTGGTGCAGTGAAACAAATAAAATCTTGACCTTGCTCATAAGAAGTTACAGGCTAAAAAAGAGGCATATGTGTAAATATTTACACTCAATAGATATTATAGATGTGATGACAGAAATATGTACAGGGGAAAATACTATAGAGTATTCTAAGATTCTGGATTCTAAGATTTCACTGAAGACATAAAAATTTTGTACTCACAATGAATTTATTTTGTAGCACTACATGTCAGTGGGCTTTTAAAATTCATTGGGAAAGTAAAACCAGTTAGTAAATTCAGGAAATAGCAAAAGGTACAGTATGTTAGGAAAGAATCTTTGGGCTTAAGAAGAAAAAAGTGTATGAAGGAAAGTAGTGGGCATATTTATGTAATAATACTGAATTTTTTTTCCTACATAGCAGTAGTCTTAAAAATACTCTAAGTACACTCCCAACATACAAATCATTAGCTGGCATTAATAGCAATCCACATTGTTAACAATAAATGTTCCTGAATGTAAACTACTACTATCTTCCTCCTTTTCAGTATACTCTCTTGTACATTGTGTACACATGTCTTTTGTAACACACGTCCTACTTTGGATCTACTGCTTTATGGAGTATTAAAAATGAAGAAATGTTAAGTCAGCACATATGTGAAAAAAACTTGTACTTTAGAGGCAATATTCTTGAACACTAGAGAAGGCTTGAAGTGTGTTAGGTGGGAAAGACAAGTAAGTACCCACTGTTGGAGGTCTGTCTGAGATTAAAGTGGTATTAATGGTCTAGACAGGGGACAACTGTTTGTTCCATGGTAAATTTCAATAGAATTGGTCATCAATTACTCGTAGAGTAGAAAAAAAGAGAGGTATAGCTCTCAGGTCATCTGCATAGCAAGTGGATAGGTGCTGAGACTAGAAAAAAGAAATGGGAAGCAGGAGAAAGAATAAGCTGGACCAGAGGTGGTAATGAGGTAAACCCAGGTAGTGTACTTGAAACGTCTATGGAACATACAGGCAGTGATAGCTGTTGGAGGCTGGATATATGGTTCTGATACTCTGGATAAAGGTCTAGAATGGAGAGCAGTATCTGAGGGTCACTAGAATCACATCAGTATAACCTTTGGAGTGAATGTGATTGTACATACACAAAAAGAGACATAGAGGAGAAGAGAACCAATTGGCATCTGGGGAAAATCCAGAATGGCATTTTAAAGACTGGTAGATAAAGAGGAATTTTTTGAAAGAAAAATATGGGAAGAGGAAAAAGTACCAACTTTGATTCAAGAGTAGACTATTCTCTCAAGAGTGAATGAACACATGCATCTTCTTCTCCTGCACCCACATATGAAAATTAGAAGAAAGTAAAAAAGATAAAAATACATCTATAACAGCACTGAAGTACAGAAAGGTTTTTCACTGGTGGGTCACAGTTTGTAGGAATTGCTGACAAACATGGATAAAACAGAAAGATCAGAGAGGAATGTGAAATTTCAGTTTTCTGTATAAGGTTGCAAGCAAATCTCTATCTTAAAAACCTCACAAAACAGGAAATTTAATCACAAAATAATAATGTGATCTATTAATTTTACCTCTCACCATACCATTGCAAAACCTAGGTCAGTGGAAATTATCAAGGTTTTGCATGTCTGCTCCTTGATTTCTTACAAATCTAGATCTCAAATCAGTGTCTACATAAGATAGATTCATTCAAGTAATATAAATCAAGACAATACATTTCTCTTCCAGCAGTACTTTCATGAGAAGACTATGAAAGGAGACAATGAATGATACATCCAATCAGTATGTGAACATTGGCTACAACTAGAAAGTGCATTTGGGGAAGACTGAAGCCTATCCTGTTGGAATGAGAGAAACTGGGAATAGGGCTGTAACTAGGGTGAGGCAGGTGAGACACATGGGCACAAAATTTAGGGCTGGACAGCCCTGAGAGTCCCTCTTAAATTTTGTATGAAGGCCACTTGCTTGCCCTATGGAAACCAGTTTGATGGAAGTAAATCCCAATATCCAGAAAATTTAAGAATAGGGAAGCAAATATTCACACAACCTAAAAACAAATTACTTCAGAAAGAGAGGAAACATCATCTCACCTGAGGCATGGTTTTGATGTTTGCAGGAGATGAGCCTTCTCTTTTGTGCTCTTCTTTGGAAAAGGGAAGAGACCTGAGAAGGCAGAGATGGGAAGATACAAGGAGCCATGTGAAACCAGATTTGACTTAGAGCTCTCAGAATAACTCAGTTAAACCTGCATCTATTTTCAATTTCGGCACTTGCTCACTTTGTGTACCCCACACAAATCCAGGACAGAGATTAGTATGGAAATGGACCAATCCTGTTCCCTTACCAAGCCAGAAACCTAATCTCCTGGTGAAGGAGAAGAGATTCTGGGGAATCTGTTGTAGCTTGGAGAGAGGGAATATAGTGTTTTTCCTTCTGCAGCTCCACCTAATGTCTCCCATGGAAGACAAATTTATCACATGTTTCCAAATCGTTCTTCATGGATTTCCTACCAATTTACATTGTTATCAGCAGTGCATGAGAACACCTCCCCAAACCCTAATGAATATAGTTGAAAATAATTTTAATCTCTGCCTACCAGACATATATATATATATATATGAAAGTGAAAGTGAAGTCGCTCAGTTGTGTTTGACTCTTTGCGATCCCATGGACTGTAGCCTACCAGGGTACTCAGTCCAAGGAGTTTTCCAGGCAAGAGTACTGGAGTGGATTGCCATTTCCTTTTCCAGGATATATATGTATACATCTCTAATTTACATATTTCTTATATGAGAATAAGCTCCTTTTATTTCTTTTCTGTGAAGACATCTTACAGTATATTTGTTTTTCTCATGGTGGTGCTTATTTTATAGTTGGTTGATATTATCTCCTTTTTCAATTTAATAAATTAACCTATTTTAAGTTGAAAATAATTTTTAGCTGCTCAAGTGACTATTAAAATGTTTTTGCCTTGTGAAGATTTCTTCCCCATATATATTCTTTAACAATACTACGTACTAAACAGTCCATATTTTCTCAGTTGATGTAAAATGCCATCTCTATCATTATTACATATCCCTACATACTTGAGAATATCTGGATTTTCTATTTAATTTCTCTACTTCATCTCTTTGATTCACCTGTACATTCTACTTAATTAACATAGTTAATTATTGAAAATTAACCATTATTTATTAGTAACTTATTAATAGTAGTTTAAGTATTAACTACTGAACAATACTTTTTAGCAATGCAGGTATAGCAATAGAAATTGATCTTTCCACTTTGTAGGCTTCCAGACAGAGAGGAGTATATTTTGCTAAATGAAGTCTGATGTATTGATTGCTACAGTGAATGTTTTAATTAGCAAAATAATATTTTAATTACTAAAATGAGATTGGTCTTACGATTAAAAGTATACCTAATACTTTGATATCATGGAATGCCTTAAGAAGCTATTGACCCTGCCATAGATTTCGTCCAGAAGCAGGAAACCTTATTCATACATCACTGTTAAAAGTGTTGCTAGCGTGTGCTCAGTAGTGTGCAACTCTTTGTGACTCCATGGACTGTAGCCCGCCAGGTTCCTCTGTCCATGGAATTTTCCTGGCAAGAATACTGGAGTGGGTTGCCATTTCCTTCTCCAGAGGATCTTCCCAACGCAGGGTTGGAACCCCCATCTCTTGTGTCTCCCGCATTGGCAGGCAGATTCTTTGCCACTGTGCCACCCGGGGAAGCCTCCTGAAAGTGCTAGTTATGGGTGAAAATAAATGGTTTGCTTTTTTTCTGCATGCTACTCATAGAACACTAAACGTTTTAACACACTGGTTTTAGTTAGTGTGGGTTTCCCTGGTGGCTCAGACGGTAAAGAATTTGCCTGCAATGCAGGAGACCTAGGTTCGATCCCTGGGTAGGGAAGATCCCCTAGAGACAAGAATGGCTACCCCCTCCAGTATTCTTGCCTGGAGCATCCCATGGACAGAGAAGCCTGACGGGCTACAATCCATGGAGTCACAAAGAGTTGGACACGACTGAACAAATAAAGAATGCTTCCCTGTAGTGAACCTTACCATCTGGGAATTATGAAATCTTACCTCTTCCTTTCCAGTACTTATACCTCTATTTTATTTGCTAAGTTGCTACTGAGTTACAATTTTGGAGGCAGGCTTGATGATCTCTATTCAGATAATCAAATCTTACCTATCTAACTAGTGGCCAGACAGTTTCTCAATCAAAAAAACTATCACAAAACATTAATAGTAGGTTACAAACACACGCAGAGTTAAATTCTATCACTTCAGAAAAGCACCATAGCACAGGCACCCGCGTATCATTCACAATCTCTGACAGCACATTAATAATTCCAGGCAAAGTCACAAAATCACATCACAAATCATATCGCTTCTCCATAGTCACCTGCGGTCTCAAACAGGACTCACACCTATTCGGAAGAGAGACACATGCAGAGGAATCCTCACGCAGCAACGAGACTCATTCAGTTTTAAACACAGTTAGCCGCAACACTGCACAGAGCAGCAGCACGCATCCAAAACGCTGCCGGTTGGGTACAGACGGCCGCCTCCATTTGGTACACACACACCCGCTGTGTGAGGTCCTGCTCCTCGCGATGGAACTCCCTCGGGGTCAAAACAGACAAAAATCTCCCTTCGCAAAACTCGCTCCAGGTCACACAAGATTGTCACCTTCAGGGTCACGCCCACGGGCCACGCCCGAGGCCGCGCTCTCACAGATCTAAATGTCTGGTTTACTAAGGGCCCGGTTCCGGTTCCGTCCTCATAATTATAGGCCCGGTGTGGGCTCCCGGTTTCCCCCCTAGGCTTCCCATCAGGTAAGGCTTCCCTAGTATGCTCTCCGGGGCCGGAACTCCCAATTCGCGCCCCCTCCTCTGGGCCCCTAGGACCTACCAACCTCACCCCAGCCAGAGCTCAGTCGTCTGCGCCTGCGCACTCGAGCACTGGCTGGCGCTCCCAGGAGTCCACGCGGCGGCGGGTTAGCAGCGGCGAGGTCCAGGCTGCAGGCGCTTGGTCTGTTTCTGCCAGGGTCCGCTTTTCCGGGTTGGACTACGTTTCTCACAGGCTCTGAGGGCACGAATGCACTTCGGCCTCTGGTTTATTTTCCCCTGACCTTGTAGTCATAGTTTGCCTAGCGGTGAGTGGAGGTGACTCGGGTCTGGATGCAGGAGGAGCTCACTGCTGGAGTCCTGAAGTTTCCCAGGCACGGATGCGGCAGGTAGAGGCGGGAGCCTTAGGCTTTGCAAGTCACCTGCTGAGGAAGGTGACTGTGGGTGTGACTGTGTGACTGCGTCAGCGTAAGATGTGGTTATAAGTGCTATGAGAAAGAGCGAGAACGAGTGTGTTAGTGACGGGACCAGGCTGTGTACGTGCGGAGTCTCTAACTGGTCCAGGTTAGGCGCCTAAGACTGTGAATGTGGGCGGGGCCTTATTACTGACCCTGCTCGGAGGCGACTGTGAGGCTTTATATACTGTGACTAAGTAGCCATTTGACAGCACTATTGTAACAGGCTAGAGTCTGATCACTGCCGGCCTAAGGACTTACCAGGTGGCCCAGTGGCTAAGATTCCAGGTTCCTAATGCAGGGGGCGGGGCTTGATCCCCAGTCGGGAAAGTAGTTCCTACTTGCTACAAACGAACCTGCGCAGCCACATAAACAAACAAACATGAAGCTACCATCACCTTTATTTAAAAAGCAAAACAAAAACTGGCCTGATGTGGCTTTTTCACTTTTAGTAGGGTAGAGCTTCATTTTTGTAGTTCTAGTGTTGAGGAATCCGTGGACAAGATCCCTGTGTGACTGTCTGTTCCTGTTAAGCCTCTGAGACCCTTGTTAACCACAGAGACCCTCAGTTTTATTTTATTTATTTATTTTTTGAGACCCTCAGTTTTAAAGCATGGCCCCTGTTGCCTTCATCAATGTACCCTGACTCTATTGTCTAGCTTAAGAGCTTGATACACAGGTATTCAGTACATTAAGTGTAGCCTGTTCTGGCACTAATTGTCAATTCCATGGTTTCTTGGAATTTGTTGGAATTGTGGGTTTTCTTTCATTGCCTCTGTATCTTCATTTTTTAAGGCCACGTTACACCGGAATGCTAGCTGCACAAAAATAGCATTCTGGGTCTTGAATATATTGAGAGGTAGAATGAAGGTTGCAACTAAAAAAAAAAAAAACAAAAACATATTTCTGTGTTTATTAGGGCGATTTTAGAGCTGGAATTACCCCTAAAGCAGGGTGCTGGGAAACCATGATATTAAGGCATCAAGAGTAAGATTTCTGCTTCCAAAGATTCCTTTTGGAAGCTCTGTGGTGGCAAACTGCATATTGCATACATACAGTATTTTCATAGCTTTGTCAATAGGAAAATTCGGTGAACATAGAAACAGATTCTGGTTCTAGGCTACAGTTAACTGATTTTTCTTTATGATACAGGGAAAGGTCAACAGTATTCCAGTCTTTCTCATCCTTCCATTGGGAACATGGATGATGGAGGCTTGCTCGCAATGAAGAATTGTGTTCTTATTTAACCTGTCTTGGTATGAAAGGCCTGTATGTCATGATTCCCTTTCTCCTCCAAGTTTTGCTGTATTCTAAAAGAAGAGCCATGAAAGGAAAAAAATGTTGCAGTCACACATCTCAAACCCAAGCTAGAGGTCATTTTTGAGCATTTTGTTTCATGGAATGAATTAAATGCCCTGCCAAATAGTGACTAATCCATTTACCTGGTCTCAAGGCCTTCTCTTCTTAGTTAATGATAGTTATTAATACCATGAGGATGCATCCCCTTCTTTCCCAGTTCCTCATCAAATGCCTTTCCTACAGTTAATTTTTGTATAACTACTCACCAGCACCTTGCCCATGTGCTGTTTTTGCCTGAGTAGATTTATGACACAGAAAGAGTCCTCTGTTACTGGGTGATTTGTGAAGGAAGAGACCAATGCTTAGGCAGAATTACACATTAGATACCTTAGATTTTCTTCAAAGACATGAATGGGGAAATGGCAAGGAAGGAGAAGGTTTGATTTCAGTAACAGTCTTCAGTAAAAACAGTCTTCTGTTTTGGAGGCCTTTAAGAATATTATCTGGAGAAGGCAATGACAACCCACTCCAGTACTCTTGCCTGGAAAATCCCATGGACAGAGGAGCCTGGTAGGCTGCAGTCCATGGGATCGCTAAGAGTCGGACACGACTGAGTAACTTAACTTTCACTTTTTACTTTCATGATTGGAGAAGGAAATGGCAACCCACTCCAGTATTCTTGCCTGGAGAATCCCAGGGACAGGAGAGCCTGGTGGTCTGCTGTCTGTGGGGTCACACAGAGTCGGACATGACTGAAGCGACTTAGCAGCAGCAGCAGCAGCAGCAGCAAGAATATTATCATCCCCTGGAGAAGGAAATGGCAACGCACTCCAGGATCCTTGCCTGGAGAATCCCAAGGACAGAGGAGCCTGGCAGGCTACAAACAGCTGGACACAACTTAGTGACTAAACCACCACCAAGAATATTATTGGGGATATGTACAGAGACATCTCTTTGAAGGGCAGACATTTTTTCCCAAAGGTTAAGGAAATTTACATGGTACCGTCACTCCAAATCTTTGTTGTGATGAGACAAAGAACCGAGGAGCTTACACTCGCCTGACAGTATCAAGCAGTTCTTGTATAAGATTTGCCATCATTTTTTTCTTTTTTGAGTCACATAATTGTGTAAACTGAGAGTCAGTACTATATAATGGTCTGAGTCTTGAACAGAGGTCAGCAAACCATGACCCTGTCAGCAAAATGCAGCTTGTAGCCTGTTTTTTTGTATGGCCTGTGAACTAAGACTGGTGTTTAACTTTCTCTGTCACTGAAAGCATATCAAAAGGACAATATTTCATGACATGAAAATTACATAAAATTCAGATTTCATTGTTCATAAATAAAGTTTATAATTTTGTGAAAACATTTTGTGGAAATTTGTTTTCTCTCCTGTTATATTAGCATCTACATAATATCCTTGATTTTGTCTTTTGGCTCACAAAGTCTAGTTCTGAGAGGGTAACAGGCAGGAGGCCAGGGGTCTCCAAACGGAGAAAATAGGCTGAAAGTGGCAGACATTTTTTATCCCTCTCTTAAGCAGCAGGAGGAGACAAACTAGTGATATATATATTTTTCCTTTCTATATACAAATTTAAAAGAGGTTTCTCTTAAAATACTGTGTTGCCATAATGACACCTGGTTCCACCTGAAGAGAACTTTTCTCAAATCTTGAGTTAACCAATGCACTTTTCTTATGGAAATGTTTGCTTAAGCTATGTTAATATACTATGCATTTACCCCAGACTCTTCTTCAAGTCAGTTCCGCCTAATGGCTCAGAACTGACTTGATAAACCAGTATGTTATACTTAGACATTGTTCCCCTTATCTATGTAAACGAAACTATTTGTATGGTAATCTGCCTTTCTACAGGATTCAAGTCGATCGTTTTTTTTTGGCCCATCTCTGAGTTTTAAGACATTCCTTTCTTTCATTAAGAGACCACTAGTAATTATATAACATCCAGCTAGAGACTAGCAGGGGGTTATTCTTTCTGCCCACTTCTGATACGTATGTCAGAAGCTTTCTCTGTCTCCTTTATACTTTTTTTTTTTTTTTTCCATTTATTTTTATTAGTTGGAGGCTAATTATTTTACAGCATTGCAGTGGATTTTGTCATACATTGAAAAATATGGAACGCTTCACGAATTTGCGTGTCATCCTTGCGCAGGGGCCATGCTAATCTTCTCTGTATTGTTCCAATTTTAGTATATGTGCTGCCGAAGCGAGCACTCCTTTATACTTTAATAAAGCTTTATTACAAAAAAGCTCTGAGCGATCAAGCCTTGTCTCTGGCCCTGGATTGAATTCTTCTCCTCTGGAGGCCAAGAATCCCAGTGTCTTTTCATGGTTCAGCAACAACCTTTCAGTTCTTTACAGAAAAATTTACTAACCTTTAATTCCAGAGTCCACATTCCACATGGTGCTAGTGGTAAGGAACCTGCCTGCCAATGCAGGAGACCTAAGAAGTGTGGGTTTGATGCCTGGGTTCAGGAAAATCCCCTGGAGAAGGGCATGGCAACCCACTCCAGTATTCATACCTGGAGAATCTGATAGACGGAGGAGCCTGGAGGGCTACAGTATATGGGGTCGCGAAGTCAAGACACAACTGAATGCCTTGCAGGCACACATGCCACATCCTGTACACCCTGTGTCCTCAGAATATTTCCGGTCATTTAGGGCTTCCCTGGTAGCTCAGCTGGTAACGAATCTGCCTGCAATTCAGGAGATCCTGTTATAGCCACGCTTTCTGGGAAACAAACTCACTCAGAAGGACAATGCAGATAGTGGAGTGCAGCTTATTACACCGGTGGGCCCAAGGCAGTTTCCTCTTAGCCAATGACCCTGACCAGCACTTGTGAAAACCTTTTATACCCCAAGTGTACGTGTCCGAACCCACCACCCCAAATTCCTTGAGACTTACAAAGGAAGGGTAAATACAATCACAATAACCCCGTCATTCACATGTTATGTGATCCAACAGTTAACAATCAATAAGCATGCGGTTACATTCCAACCAGTTAATAACCGATAAGCCTGTGGTTACATTCCGATAGATACTGTCCGGAGTCAGGGGTGATTAGTGTATGCTTTTTCTTAGGCATTGAGTAACCTGGGTACAATTGTCAGGCGAGTGTATGCTCCTCCATTCTTTGTTTCGTCACAACAAAGATTTGGAGTGATGGACATTAAAGCCCCTTGGCAGGTCACGGCTCTCGGAGGACAGACCGTGTTACAGCTCAGTGTTACAGCTCTATTTATTTAGATGATAGCAGGAAAATCCATCTTTGAGGTGTGAGGGCACTTCGATCCAAAGACAGGAAGAGAAGAGCGCCCCATCGTGTGTGTGTTTGGGGGAGGGGGGTAGGGAGAGAGAGAGAGAGAGCGCTTAGGCAGGAGTGTTGTTTGTTTTACCTGAGGTTCTCACTCTGGTCCTCGGACCTTCCTTTGTTGTATTTTCGTGGGCTTTCCCTTCCAGGTCTTTTAGCCACCGCCATTTTGGACTCCTTTTCCCTATTCTAACTACCTAACACAATATTCAAGGTTCCCCTGTCCGGAGGGGGTTCCCATTGTCGTTCCCATAGGCACTAAGCAGAGAGTTCAGAGTCCATTGGAGAGGCAGCCGAGCATGATCAGCACGGACAGGCCTGAGATAGAGTACTGGCCCTATGAATTCCTTCTTCAAGCCCAGTTCGATTCCTGGGTCGGGAAGATCTGCTAGAGAAGGGATAGCCTACTAGTTGCAGGAAGGAGGACCCCTTCCAGGGCCCGAAACCAGGCTCTTGTCTAACACTCGGAAATGAATTGTCCAAGGAGACACATGTGCTAACAAAACAAGAGATTTTATTGGGGAAAGGGCACCTGGGCGGAGAGCAGGAGGGTAAGGGAACCCAGGAGAACAGCTATGCCAGGTGGGATTGGTTTCCGGGTTGTCTTTAGCCAGTCATTCTGACTCAGAGTCCTTCCTGGTGGTGTATGCCTTGTTCAGCCAAGATGGATGCCAGTGAGAAGGATTCTGGGAGGTGGTTGGACATGTGGTGTCTCCTTTTGACCTTTCCTGAACTCTTCCTGTTGGTGGTGGCTTATTAGTTCTGTGTTCCTTACCAGGACCTGTGTGTTCCTTACCAGGACCTCCTGTCGTAAAACAACTCATGCAAATGGTTACTATGATGCCTGGCCAGGGTAGGTGGTTTCAATCAGTGCGCTTTCCTTAATATACCTACTCCAGTATTCTTGGGCTTCCCTGGTGGCTCAGCTGGTAAAGTATTGGCCCACAGTGCGGGAGACCTGGGTTCAATCCCTGGGTTGGGAAAATCCCCTGGAGAAGGGAAAGGCTACCCACTCCAGTATTCTGGCCTGGAGAATTCCAAGGACTGTATAGTCCATGGGGTCACAAAGAGCCAAACATGACGAGTGACTTGACTTCTTCCTTCCTTCATTAATCTAGAGTATCTGGATTAAAATCTAGGTCTTGTAATGACATTATATTTATGCATTCACTTTTTAAAAACTTGAATGTTTTGAATGTTTTCATACTTTTTCCAAGTTTTGAGATATATTTGAACATAATTTTAACTAAAAGTTTTTTTATAACCTTGCATTTAATGACTAGTAGTCATGAATGGATATTCTATATTTTAAACCAATCAGTTGTTGTTAAAGCTGAATCTTACCTGGGTAATTCCTTCTACTTGCTATGCAGCTCGCATGTCTTACCCAAATTTTCCTTCCTTCCAGAACCTTCTGGGAACATGTATCCATGTCTTTTCACATGCAGACATGTTCAGGAATGTGGCATTGGCTTCTGCTGGGTGGAAATGCATCTGCTCAGATGTATTTATTAATATTCAGGGGAATAATGTAGGAACTGGATAGTTTACATTATTATCTGGGTGCTACTGAATAAAAATATCTATGTACCTCCCTATTCAAAAGCTACTTGATTTTAATTTAAATCTTTTTTTCTGACATCTTTGTGGGATTCACCCATGTTATGCACGTAGCAGGCACCTTTTTTTTTTTTTTTTTTTTGCTTTATATTCCATTATAGGATGTTGCACAGATTACTTTTCTCTCCTTCAGATGCTGGAAATTTGAGTTGTTTTGAATTTTTCTTTAAGAGATACTATTGCTATGAACATTACTGTATTGTATGCTTATGTTTTGTCAACATAAGCTTTCTTTTTTGCTGTGGGAAAATGTCCTGGGAAAGAATTTCTGGGTTATGTAATAAATCTATGTTTAGTTTTGTAGACACTGTTTAGTTTTGAACACACTGTAGTGTGTTATGCTTTCACACCCACTGCATGAGAGTTGTTGTGTTTTTTTGCATGAGAGTTCTAATTGTAATAAGTTAAGCATAATATTGTAATCTTTATGATAACCACTAAGAGAATAATGTGTAACAGTATAAATTAATGGAGAAACTATTTGTGTAATACAACAGGAGGTAAGAATGGTAGAATAAAAATATAAAGAAATAGGGACTTTCCTGGTGGTCCAGTGGTTAAGAATCCACCTCAAAATGTGGGGGACGTGGGTTTGATCCCTGGTCGGGGAACTAAGATCCCATATGTTGCAGGGAACTAAGCCAGGGTGCCACAAATACTCAACCCATGTGCTGGCACTAAGACTCAAAATAAAATTTTTTTTTTTTAAAGGGGGGGTCTTCTCTGCTGGTCCAGTGGCTAAGACTCCATGCTTCCAAAGCAGGGGTCCCAGGTTCGTTTTCGTACCCTGGTCAGGGAACATCCCACAACTAAGAGTTCACATGCTGCAGCTATGGATCCCATGTACCTCAGCAAAGACCCAGTGTAGCCAAACAAATAAATAAATATTTTTTAAAAAGACAGAGGGGACACATAAAAGCAAATGTTGGTATACCCAACATTATTAGTAATTAAATGTAATGGAAGTGGATTAAACATCCCAATAAAAAGAAAATTGTTATCAGCCTGGATGAAAAGTACAAAATCAACTGTATGCTTATAGCAGCTGATATATATTAAGTGTAATGATACAGAAAACTTGAAATATGAAAGAGGTAAAAAAAAATATATGAAAGAGGTATAATGTAAAGACTAACTTGTGGAAAGTTGATGTCTCTATATTAAGATCAGACCAAAAAAACAAAAAAAAACTTACAATAAATAACTGTTTTATAGTGTTTTATAAATGATATAAAAGTCATTTATATGGGGGGATGTTTTATAATGATAAAAGTTTAAACCTAAAAAGAAGATACACTAGTCATGAATTTGTACCTAGTAACAGCCTCAGGATATTATTAATATAAGCCAAAGATTAACAAAGGATGAATCCACAAATGCACTCATTGTTCATAACACTATACAGGAGGCAGTGATCAACACCATGCCAAAGAAAAAGAAATGGAAGAAGGCAAAATGGGGGACTTTCCCAGTAATCCAGTGGCTAAGACTCCATGCTTCCAGTGTTGGGGGCCCAGGTTTGATCCCTGGTCAGGGAACTTAGATTCCATATTCCACAACTGAAAGATCCTGTGTGCTGCCACTAAAACCTGGCACACCAAATTAATTAATTAATTAAAAACAAGAAGGAAAAAAACTGGTTGTCTGAGGAGGCCTTACAAATAGCTGAGGAAAGAAAAGAAGCAAAAGGGTAAGGGAGAAAGGGAAGGATATACCCAACTGTATGCAGAGTTCTAGAGAATAGCAAGGAGAAATCAGAAGGCCTTCTTAAATGAACAGTGCAAAGAAACAGAGGAAAACAGTTGAATGGGAAAGATTAGAGATCTCTTCAAGAAAATTGGAGATATCAAGGGAACATTTCATGCAAGCATGGGCACGACAATGGGCAGAAATGGTAAGGACCTAACAGAAACAGAAGAGATTAACAAGAGGTAGCAAGAATACACAGAAGAACTATACAAAAAGGGTCTTAATGACCTGGATAACCATGATGGTATGGTCACTCACCTAAAGCCAGACATCATGGGCCTTAGGAAGCATCACTATGAACAAAGCTAGTGGAGGTGATGGAATTCCAGCTGAGCTATTTCAAATCCTAAAAGATGATGCTGTGAAAGTACTGCACTCGATATGTCAGCAAATTTGGAAAACTCAGCAGTGGCCACAGGACTGGAAAAGGTCAGTTTTCATTCCAATCCCAAAGAATAACAATGCCAAAGAATGTTCAAACTGCCATACAACTGAGCTCATTTCACATACTAGCAACATTATACTCAAAATCCTTCAAGCTAGACTTCAGCAATACATGAACCAAGAATTTCCAGACATATAAGCAGGATTTTAAAAAGGCAGAGGAACCAGAGATCAAATGGCTAACATTCATTGGACCATGGAGAAAGCAAGGTAATTCCAGAAAAACATCTGCTTCATTGACTACTCTAAAGCCTTTGACTGTATGCATCACAACAAATTGTGGAAAATTTTTTAAAAGAGATGGGAACACTTTTCTCCTGGGAAACCTGTATGCAGGTCAAGAAGCAACAGTTAAAACTGACATGGAACAACAGACTGGTTCAAAATTGGGAAAGGAGTACCACAAGGCTGTATACTGTCACCCTGCTTATTTAACTTATATGCGGAGTACATCACGCGAAATGCCGGGCTGGATGAATCACAAGCTGGAATCAAGATTGCTGGGAGAAATATCAACAACCTCAGATATGTGGATGATACTACTCTTAACGGCAGAAAGTGAGAGGAACTTAGGTTGTCTTCACATCTTGGCTATTGTGAATACTGCTGTGGTGAAGATAGGAGTCAGGTATCTCTTTAATAGCCTGTTTTCATTTCCTTTGGATATAGCTTATACTGCTATTTTACTTGATCAGTAACAGTCATAATTCTACAAGCAGAATCAAAATGACATGTACCTAACTAGACACATAGAGTCTCTCATTCATTAATATCACTTATGATCCAGTTTCACAGTCAACATATAATGAACACATAAAAATCATGATAAGAGTTGGTACAGCACATTGTTTCCTATGATCTCACCCACTGCACAAAACCACAACATGGATCCTACACGATATTCCTAACTCCACTGAGCCCATCGCATAGTTCCACAGAATTCCAAACCAAACAGAGAAACCACTTACTACATAGTCACACAGTTTCCCATAAAAGATTAATCATCCTACAAGGTTTGTCAGCTTCTTAGAAAGTTAAATATAAACTTAATCTATTATCAGCATTTTTTTTTCCTCTAGGTATTTCCCTAGGAGAAAGGGAAACATGCCATCGTTATCATAATATATAAAACCTGAAAATACACTAAACGCTCATAAAAAGAAAAATGAAGAAACAAATTGTGCCACATTTGCACATTGGAATGCTGTCCGGAAGAAAAAAAAAAGATGAACACAACATCCATAAATCTTAAGGAACAAGAATGAGCTAAAGGAGACAATTGGAGCTGGAGAACTGACAGAACTAAATTAATATGACACATATCAGAACCATGGCTGTCTCCCTGTGAGACTGACTGGAAAAGGACACCAGGGAATTGAAGCTGAAGCAATGATGATATAAAACACTCACGAGGGCGGGCATACACTCAATACACTGAGTGTCTGCTAAGTGCTGATCTGGGTGTTGGGGCGTTCTCAAGGGGCAAACCTGACAAAAACAACAAAATCCTTGTCCTCTGGTTCACGACCTAGGGTCTCGCCGGTCTAAGTGAGGTTCTCGCCCCGGCCTCTGCACGGTTTCAGCCCTTCTTAGCCCTGCCTCCCTCGGCAGGGATTCACGATTCCCTCCCCGGCCCTTCTCAGCCGGGGTCCCGAGTCCCTCTGCCCTGGGCTTCTGATTCTTACCGGGCCCTACCAGACCAAGGCTTTCTTCGCTTGCTTCCTCTGCCCACCCCGAGTTCCCTTTACTGCCCTCCCTGGCCCAGGTTTGCAATTATTTCCTCGGCTTGGGCTTTCCTTCCTTCCACGACCTCCCCTAGCTAACAGAGGAGCATCACCTGGCTCTTCGGCGTCTGAAAGGCCCACCAGCTGCAACTCCTCGCCATCGGCGAGCGATCCGCACACCCTGGAATTCCCGGGAGTCGGAGGCTCGGAAGGGCCTCAGCTGCAGGTGGGCTTCACGCTCTGCTCGGAGGGCTGGACGTTTTCTGTGTTGGACTACGTTTCCCACAGGCCCCAGAACCTCGAATGAACTTCGACCTTGGGCTCCCCTTCTTGTGTCGTGACGGTTATTGGGTTATGCCTGATGAGTTGAGATGAACCTGGTCAGGCTGCAGGAGGGGCTGGCGGTGATCGGGGAGGATGGGGTCAAGTTCGCGGAGGACGGATGGGGCTTGTGGAGCCAGGAGCGTGAGAGGCGGACGACCAAGGTTGCGGGTGCTATTGTTCGTGACGGCGTCTTTGTGGAGTGTTCTCGCTTGTGCGTGTGTGAGAGCCAGCGAGCCAGTGAGAGCTAGTGTGTGTTGGGGCCCTGGGATGGCGTGACTGGTATCTGATTGGGGTCGTGGCACTGTCCGTGGGGGCGGGGCCTACCGTGGTTCACATCACCAAGGCAACGAGGGTGTGTGACTGACATTGTGACCACGTGGTCCGGTACCATCTCTGTTATGACTGTCAAGAAAATGGAGTTTGTTTTTTCAATTAGCTTGTTGAAATTTTGAGTTTTTTTCAGTGCACTAGGAATGTGTGAATTTTTTTTTACACGTGTGTGTGTGTGTGTGTGTGTGTGTAAGCTGTATCAGCACGTCTGAGTACCCAGCCTAATGCTTAACACAGAGAGGACACCGGTGAAGTGAATGTTGCCCACCCAGGGTATAATTGTAGGTTCCATGGTTTCTTGGACTGTGTTTCCCTGGATTCTCTTCGGTCTTCACACCAAATAGCTAATTGGATATAGCTGTGAAGAAAAGTTCACTAGAGTGAGTCATGAATTTCATTCTTATAATGAGAGTTCCCAATAGAAAATTACCTCCGAAATCATGGGGTTAGAATTGAGGCTTGCATCTGTTTTCAGCACAGGTTTCTGGGAAGACTTGAAGCGGGAGGGGGACACAGGTGTAGCATCCCTTCCCGGGTAAAACTCCCTTGGATGCATTATGGAGGCCATTTACACATTTCAGAACCACAGCATTCCCTGTCCTGTGCCCTCCAGAAACTGCTGTGAACTTAGGTTCCAGCTTTGGGCATAGGTGGTGCTTACCTTTTTCTCTGATAATGGCAAAATCAGCAGTATTCTAATTTCCCATTTCCATCTGGTTGTATTTGTGGTGGGTGATGGGTCATGTCTGTTGGTGGACAATGTGTTCATCACAACTTTTAGCCAGTCTAGAGTCTCACAAGTCCTTCTTCTTGGTCCTGTAGTTCTGCAAGTTCTGAGGTGGAGAGCATTGCTACTTGTTTAACGGCCCATACAAGGTCAGTTCGTATTTGCTTTTTGTTGTCATATACTTTTGTTTTACAGAGTATTAAAGTATTGCTTTCCTTCTCCTAAGTTTCCCTAATTGTGACTTATCCACTTTCCTGGTTCTAGGCTTTCCCTTCCCAATTAGTAACAGGGCCATACAGATGGATGCCTTATCTTTCAGTGCTTTTCCAAGCACCCTTTACCTTTCCAGTTAATATCCCCATACCCACTGGGTAAATCATTCAGTAATCCCGCATGCTCTTCTTTCCAAAGGAAGGCACAAAAATACAACTAGTGGAGGAAAAATGAAGGACTTATTTTAGAATGTGATTTGTTAAGGAAGAGATCTGTGGCTAGGTATAATAACATAGCAGATACCTTTGATTTCCAAATAAAGCAAGGTAGGAAGTGGTTTGACTTCAATTAGTAAGTGAAAAAGTTGACTTTGACATTTAGAAGTGGGTATATGATTGGAGTTTTGTGAAGAGAGGTATGTGTGTACAAGAGCAGGGAGTTTTTCCAGAAAATCCATGGGGAGTGTTGAGTGGTGATAACCAAGTCTTGTTTGAGATCTGGCAGTAGACTTAGTTTCAGACCATATATTGGTGTAGACTGTGATAAGCAGTGTGATATAGTGGTATTTGAGTCTGAAGAAACACTAATGGAAATATAACAAAAGCCACTTATGTAATTTTATAATTTCTATTGAACACATTTTAAAAAGTAGGAGGAAACAGTCGAAATTAATTTTGATAATGCATCTTATTTGAACTAATATATCTAAAATATTATTTCAACATAAAATGACATAAATAAATTGAAGTATTTTACATTCATACCTTCATACTAAGTTTTCAAAATCTGGTGCATATTTTATTGTTACAGCACTTCTCAATTTGGATACTAAATTTTCAGTGGTTAAGGTGAAGTATGCTTGCATGCATGCTAAGTTGCTTCAGTCGTGTCTGACTCTTTGTGACCATATGGACTATAGCCCACCAGGCTCCTCTGTCCATGGGATTCTCCAGGCAAGAATACTGGAGTGGGTTGCCATGCCCTCCTCCAGAGGATTTTCCCAACCCAGGGATCAAGTCCATGTCTCCTAGCTCTCCTGCACTGGCAGGTGAGTTCTTCACCAGTAACGCCACCTGGGAAGCCCAAGGTGAAATATACTCACATCAAAACAGTAAAATTGTGTTTAACTGAAAAACATTTTATATTGCTTTTCTATTTTAATTAAAACTAAATTTAAAATTCTGTTGCTTGTTCAAACTTGCCATATTTCAAGGAGGTCAATAGTTATTAGGATCTCTATTTTGTAATTTCTTGTTATAAAATGTTCATAATAATCACATCAGTGCCTTATGGATTTTATGAAGATTGAATATATTAATCTGGGCATAGCCCTAGAGCACCTTACTAAATACCTTGTACGTTATTAAATTCTCAAGAAAGAAAAGTTGCTATTATGTGGAGATTCTAAATATTCCTCATAAATTTCTTAACTAAAGAGTAATGAAAATATAAAGTTAATTTTAATGAGGACTTAGAAGGAATTTTTAACAGCCAGATTTGTGCAGATATCCATAATAGAAATTCTTAAGGCAATTTAATTCCATTTTGGTACTCATAAAGGATCACAAATCTATTGAAATTATGTTCAAAATTCTTCTATATAGTTTCTAACTTTTTTTTTTTTGATATGTTTGGTTTTGTTTGCAGAATATCTGTAACTTCATGGATTTATATAACTGTATATAATTTTAAAAACTAAGTTAATCGCATTACATAAATGTGATATAATACCATGCAGATAAGACAAGCTTTTTACATAGGAAAAAGAACACTCCTAATTGTTAATATTGTATATGAATCTGTTTTACTAAGATTGCATTTATAATCAATCTTATATATCTAAAGTGATATTAGTTTTTGAATAATAAAGTTAAAAAATTACGTCATATATAATAAGTATATCCCTGCAGAAGGGAATGGCAACCCACTCCAGTATTCTTGCCTGGAGAATTCCATGGACAGAGAAGCCTAGCAGGCTACAGTCCACAGAGTCACAAAGAGTCAGACATGTCTGAGCACACAGCACAATAAGCACATACACTGTACCAAATACATTTCTGCCTCTTTTACATACATTTTCTTATTTAGGCTAAAAATGCTACTACCATCTTTAATTTTGTTAATTCAAGTACATGTATAATGAATGTATCCTATTGCATTGGTGTGATAAAACAAAAGGATGTTCACAAGTTTGTAGAAGTAGTTTATTTCAGTCACAAATTTCCTTCATGTTCCCACCCATTTTGAAGATCTTTTGTGCTCATTATGTTCCTAAACAAAAGGAAAGCTTGTTTCCAACTCTGTTAAGTCTTTTATGTAGAAATAACTCTTTTATATATGTCTGATGGTGGAATTGATGCAGATTGTAAAATATTCAATTTTTAAGGAACTTATAACTCAATAATTACCCACAATCCCACCATCTAGAAATAATCATTGTTAATAACATAATATACATTCTTTCAAAAATTTTCTCTCTAGGTATGTGGGGCTTTATTCATTTTTTTGGAGATATAATTAACATATAACATTATATTAGTTTCAAGTGAACATGATTCAATATTTGTATATATTGCAAAAAGACCACAATAAATCTGTTTTAATATTCATCACTATACAAAGTTATAAGTTGTTTTTTCATTGTAACAAGAACATTTAAGATTCAGCAACTTTTTTACTCTCAGGAACTTTCAAATATACAATACAGTATTATTAACTATAGTCATCATGGTGAACATTCATCTCCATGATTTATTTAGAATTAAAAGTCTACTTTTTGACCACCTTTACCCATTTTGCCCACCCTCTAACCCCCATCTCTAGCAACCACCAATCTCCTTTCAGTGTCTAGGAGTTTGTCTTTTGTTTTTTTAGAATTCATATATTAGTAAGATCATACAGTATTTGTCTTGCTCTTACTTACAGTGTCTTCAGGGTTCATCCATGTTTTCACAAATGGTGAGATTTTATTTCTTATGGCTGAATAATATTCCATTTGTGTGAGGGTGTCTGTGTGTGTGTGTGTGACATTTTCTTTACTCATTCATCCATCCATGGACAGTTACATTGTTTTCATTACTTTCATAATTAAATAATATTGAGGGTACATAAATCTTTTTGAGTCAGTGTTTTAACTTCTTAAGAAAAATACTCAGAAGTGCAATTGCAGAATCATATGGTATTTGTTTTTAATTTTTTAAAGGACCCTCGATTCCCTGGTGGCTCAGTGGTAAAGAGTCTGCCTGTCAATGCAAAAGGACCCTCCATTCTGTTTTCCACAGTGGCCTCACCGGTTAACAGTCCCACAAACAGTGCATAAGAATTCCCTTTCTCTGTGTCCTCACCAGCATTTGTTACTTCTTGCCTTTTTGATAATCACCATTCTGAAGGTTGAGATGAGGTTTCATTGTGGTTTTGATTTGCATTTCCCTGATTAATGATGTTGTGCACCTTTTCATGTACATGTTTGGAATCTGCTTTCCTTGGGAAAATGTCTATTCAGACCCTTTGCCCATTTTTTAAATTGAATCGTTTGGTTTTTTTCCTATTGAGTTGTATGAGTTCTTTATGTGTTTTGGATATTAACCCCTTATCAGTAATTTGATTTGCAAATATTTTCTATTAGTAGGTTGCCTTTTCATTTTGTTGATGGTTTTCTTTGGTGCACAAAGTTTTTTAGTTTGATGTGGTCCCACTTGTTTATTTTTGCTTTTGTTGCTTTTTTCATGCTATATCCAAAAAGAATCACAGCCAAGACTGATGTCAAGTTGTTTACCCACAATTTTACCTTCTGGGAGTTTTATGGTTTCAGGTTTTATGTTCAAGTCTTTAATCCATTTTGACTTTATGTATGGTGCAAAATAGTGATCTAGCTTCATGCTTTTCCATATTACTGTCCCTTTTCCCAATACCATCTGTTAAAGAGCCTGTCCTTATTACGTTGTATATTCTTGGCTCTTGTGTCATAAATTGACCATAAGTATAATACTTGGGTTTATTTTCTGATCCCTTTATTCTATTCCACTGGCCTGTGTGTATGGCTTTTTTTTTTAATAATATAGTATATATTTTTTTATCAATATAGTATATTGATTACTATAGCTTTGGAATGTAATTTGGAATCCAACTCTTTTTTTTTCTTCCAATCAATGAGCACAGGATAGCTTAATTTTTCTGAGTGCTCATTATAAGTCTATAGAAATGCAACTGATTTTTGGTATATGGATTTTGTATCCTGCAACTTTACTAAATTTATTACTTCTAAGTTTTTTGATGGACTCTTCAGGGTCTTCCTGTATATACTATGATTTCATCTGCAAATAGTGACACTTTTACTTCTTTTCTCATTTGTATACCTTTTATTTCTTTCTTCCTTTTTTAAAAAAATGTAATTGCTGTGGCTAAGACTTCTAATTCTGTGTTGAATAAAAGTGGCAAGAGTGGGCATCTTTGTCTTGTTCCTGATTTTGGAGGAAAAGCTTTCAACTTCTCACCATTAGGTATGATATTGCTATGAACTTGTTATTATGCTGAAGTATGTTCCCTCTATATCCACTTTGCTGAGAGTTTTTATCATAAATGGATTTTTAATTTTTGTCAAATATTTTTTATGCATCTATTCAAATGATTATGTGGGTTTTCTCCCTCATTTTGTTAATATGTTGTATCATATTGTTTGGGGGATGGTGAGCCATTCTTGCATCCATGGAATAAATCCCACTTGATCATGGTATGTGATCATTTTAATGTATTGTTGAGTTCAGTTGGCTAATATTTTGTTGAGGAATTTTAAACCTGGGTATGTATTTCTTTTGTTTCTACAAAAAAAAATTGCATAAATTTGCCACATAAATCAGTTAAGTGAAGGAGAAGAAATACGTATGTGTACTATATTTTATAATTACATAATTACCTTTACTAGTGCTCTTTGTTTTTTTCACATGAATACATATTACTACCTGGGACTTACTTTTAACCTGAAGAACTCACTTGAGTATTTCTTTAAGACAGGGTTGCTAGCATTTAATTAATTCCCTTAGTTTTTCTTTATCTGGTAATGTCTTTATTTCATCTTCACATTTGAAAAATAGCTCGTTTGAAAGTTTTTTGAGCACTTTGTATATATTATCCCATTGCCTTCTGGTCTCCATTGTTTCTATGCAATGTCATCAAGTAAACTTATTAGGGATTCACTTTTAAGTGACAACTAATTTTCCTTTCTGCTTTCCAGATTCTCTCATATTTCACGATTTTTACCATGATTTGTCTGTTTGTAGATCTCTATGAATTTATTCTATTTGGTGTTCATCAAGCTTTCTGGATATATAGATTAACATTTTTCAATTAATTTAGGAACTTTTCATCCATTATTTACTTTAATAGGTTAAAATGCTCCTTTACTCTTTTCTGTTACATCTATTACAAGAGTGTGCTTAATGGTTTCCAACATTTCTCTGAAGCTCTTTTCATTTTTCTTATTTTTGTGTTGTTGTTCTTCAGGTTGCATGATGTCTATCGAGATACCTTTAAGATATGCTTTAAGTTATACTTTTTTTTCTGTCTAGTTCATATCTACTGTTGAGACACTCTAGTGAAATTTTCATTTTGGTTATACTTTTCAACTTCAGTATTCAGAATTTACATCTGGTGATACTCAGTTCAGTTCAGTTCAGTTGCTCAGTCATGTCTGACTCTTTGGGACTCCATGGACTGCAGCACGCCAGACTTCCCTGTCCATCACCAACTCCCTACAGATATTAAATAACTTCTGTCTCTTCACAGATTACTTGTATGACATTATGATTATACCTTCATTAAATTTTAAGCATTTTTATTGTTTATTTGAACATATTTATAGTTGTTACTTTGAATCCTGTGTTCAATCTAGTTGTTTTCACAGGCAGTTTCTATTGTTGGTTTTGTATTTGGTTTATGGGTTATATTTTCCTGTCTCTTATTTATGGAAAATTGACATTTTTAGATACTTATTTCAACTGTGATACTTTTGTCTCCTTCCCTTCCCCAGGTTTGTTATCATTATTTATATTTCTTATTTAGTAACTGGCTAGACTAATGAAGTGAAATCTATCTCCCCTATAGTGTAAATCTCTAATATTGCTCCTTGGAGTATAGACTTGACTATTACCACAGTCACCCTTGGATGACAGTGGTTTTGACAAGGCTCTTTGAATGTCTCTTTACCTGACCACACCAAGCTGTTAGGATCCACTAATTGTGACTGATGGCACTATTATTTTCAGTAATGCCCTGGGGATACACTGCTTCACAGACTAAGGAAATCAAGTCAGTGTTTGAGATTTGTTCTGACAATAGGAAGGACTCCCCAAGTATCTTTCTCTGATCCCTTCTGACAAACTTGCCTGCCTACAGTTTAGCATTTATCTCCAATGAATTTTTCAATCTTTATAGACTTTCACTAAAATTTCCACTGTTTTTGAGACTGCCCTTACCCTTGAACTTCTCCACACTCCATTGCAAGTGGAGAAGGACATGGAGGGGGTTGCTCGGTAGTCTTGGGTCTCAGCTTCCCTCTCTTGGCATGGAACTCCTACGCCATGAGCCAAGGCAAAGACAATTGGAACCCCAGTATTCTCAGTAGTGCCACACCCAAGGTACAGCCTACAGTTCTTAGGTGGCTGCCAGGCAGTTGCATGGCTTAGTTGCATTTGCCTGAGCGAAGGTAGCTGGGGGCAAATGAGAAATGCTGATGTTCTACTCCTCCCAGGAAGATCTGGCTGGGAGCAGGGATTGAGGAGGAGTGAGGAAGTTTGTGTCCTTAGTTGTACTAGTTTGGAAAAGAATCTTTCTCACTAGGATGGAGGGATAAGGAGGGGTGCAGATTAGGTTCAGATACTGCAGACTTTTACAGTTCTTAGTAAGTTTTACTAGACTTTCTTGAACAAATGTTTCTTCATTTGCTGTATGTTTTTATATATAATTTTCACCAGTTTCAATGGGGACAATCTCCATAGAACTCCTCATGCTGTCATACCAGAAGTGGAATTCCTCGATCAATTCTTTACAGTTCTAACCATGGACCATGTAAGTTGCTATTTCTCTCCTTTGTGAACATTTCATTTATCTGAATCTTCCAAGAAAACAGCTTTAAGAGCCTACCCCCCACATCCTCATGAAAATCCCCATTTTCACTTTCTAGTGAGAGCTGGAGTCAACAGCACACTGTACCTTCTATGTGCCTATCTCTTTTCCAAATAATGTTCAGTATTCCTATGTGTAGATTTTTTGTTCAGAGCAGTTATAGGATAGAAATAGAATCCCCAGAGGGAGGCATTTACCATCCTTTTACATACTCTTGAGAAAAAGAGCAAATGTATCCATTTAATGACATATGAGCAAACTCTACTTCTGAACAGACCTGATTTTCCAGGTAGATTGGATTTGATGTTGGTTAGTCTAAGACATGGGGAAGGCAATGGCACCCCACTCCAGTACTCTTGCCTGGAAAATCCCATGGACAGAGGAGCCTGGTAGGCTGCAGTCCATGGGGTCGCGAAGAGTCTGATGCGACTGAGCTACTTCACTTTCACTTTTCACTTTCATGCATTGGAGAAGGAAATGGCAACCCACTCCATTGTTCTTGCCTGGAGAATCCCAGGGACTGGGGAGCCTGGTGGGCTGCCTTCTATGGGGTCACATAGAGTCGGACACGACTTAAGTGACTTAGCAGCAGCAGCAGTCTCAGATATAAAACAGTAGATTATTATTGATTTCAGAATTGGAGAAGACCTTATCCAACCTATGCCTAAATATAATTAAGGCAGGTATATTTTCACCAAATACACTACTCTGCAGCCACTAAAAAATGCTTAATAAATAATTTCTCATTAGAAGTTATAATTCTTATATAACGTGAAATGGTGATTAACAGTGATGAACTTGGGGTTGAAAGAAATTTTAAAATATTGTTCATACCCTATTTTCTAAGCTAGATATTTTTCCTATACCAAGGAACAAGGATGTGGAAATTCATCATCATTGATAATTCATGCCACAGGCATGTGACATAAAATGTTCATTTACAATGTTAATTTCTGCTATACAGCAAAGTGATTCAGTTATACAAATACATTCTTTTTCATATTCTTTTCATTATGGTTTATTACAAGATATTGAATATAATTCCCTGTGCTATACAGTAGGCCCTTGTTGTTTATCCATTCTATAAATAATAGTTTAATTCAATTCTTTTTTATCTATTAGTCAAAAATGTTTCCTTCAATTTTACATGTAATATGTGGTTTCTTGTTTTAGGAACTGGTGACATTCAGGGATGTGGTCATCAGCTTCTCTCAGGAGGAGTGGGAATATCTGGATTCTGCTCAGAGGGACTTGTACTGGGATGTGATGATGGAAAATTACAGCAACTTGGTCTCACTGGGTAAATTTGGCTATTCACATAATTTAGAATATTTTCTATAGACTATCAGTTGACATTCAGTTAACTCAATGCTACACTAGATGAATTTCTTCTCCAAGTTTCCAAATGCATGGATTGAGCATGGTTTTGGAGATGACACCTCCTTTTAGAACCTTCATCATTCTTCATATAATTTGTATGAAGTCCCTTCTTAGTTTCTTCATATAATTTCTGCCTTCCTTGATATCCAGAGAGCTAGATCTGATTATAGGTTACATAGAGTATATCCTTTAAGGTATCTATTGTATTTTGTTTGAGCCCAGAATTACTTTAAGTTCTTTACATTATTCCCTTACCCACCTCTGGGAGAACAGCTAAGATACTGTCTTGATTTGATATGATTATCAAAAGAATCTGTGTAATTTATAGTTAGATTGGCAAACAGAATTCATATTCATTGCCTGATACAAGTATTGTCTTACACCTGCTATGAGATTAAAGAACTTTGCATTTAACATTAAGTCAGAATTCCAGCAAGGACCTCTTAATGTTTTAGAAAGCTGCTTGTTTTCCTCTCAGCTCATGTAGTTCTTGCCTTGTACCAGGCCCTGTTTTAAGCCCTTTTAATATACTAAGTTACCTAATTCTGCAACCCTATGACATAAATACTACTTGCATTATTTTTCTTTGAAGACATTGCTAAGACGAATATTTAGGCTACCTCTCCAAGGTTACATGGCTAATTAGTGTCAGAAGCAGGTTTTATTATGTTACATTTCTTTCTTGTAAGCAGTGTGTTCCATTTCTAAGCACGTTGTGACTACCTTATTGATGGAAAGGAAGTTGCTATAAAGGGTTGTGTGGGATGTGACAAGTCAACGGGGCCAGGAGAGTAAAGACTTGATGAAACAAGGAAAGTCATCACCAGAATAAAAAGCCTAGCCTGTTCAAGCGGAGGCGAGCCCCTGTGATGTTTTGGGGAAACTCCATTTGACTGACCTCTTATGTGTCATTATGGATTTGTTGATTTTCATTAGTTTAGTATACTTTAGCCCATCACAGCCTTTGATTGTTGATACCTAGCTGTATAAATACCAAGGAATTCCTTATAGATTTTTGTGTACCATTGACTCGATTCTTTATTTCTTGAATATATTACTGCTTTCTGAAGTTTCCCCGGGCTCACTCTATATCTTCCCTATCCCAGACCATACATCTGAATTGGTTAAAAGTGAGTTCTTCTGGACTTCCATGTTTTATGTGTTTTTTTTGTTTTGTTTTGTTTTGGACTATTTTATTTATTTATTTTTTTCCATTTATTTTTATTAGTTGGAGGCTAATTACTTTACAACATTGCAGTGGTTTTTGTCATACATTGAAATGAATTAGCCATGGATTTACATGTATTCCCCATCCCGGTCCCCCCTCCCACCTCCCTCTCCACCCATTTTATGTGTTTTGCTTCATCTTGAAAAATTAATACTAGCTATAAAAAAAAATAAAAATTAATACTAGCTATAAATTTTATTTAGTTGTTTACTTAACATATTTTAGTACACAAAGTATTTTTTCCCCTTTTTCTATTCTTGCATTGTCAAAATGGTGATCTCCTTCAGATAATTTTTTGTCTTTTGTCATGATTCATTAATATGATAACATTCTTGCTTCTGTCACAACCATCAAGGGCATATCTTCTACTTTCCCTGCTCCAGGTTATGGCTCAGATCTTTATTTTAGGAGCCCTGACTCATTATCTGGCTTACTGTCACAACTTAGACAGTAGGCATGCTTAAGATTTTTTGTTTCGTGGGAGGTAAGTCTTTGACAATTTTATCTCTTTTTAGCAAATTGTTCTTTTTTTTTCAACTTCTATGGCATCTAGGGTTTCACTATTTATTTACCTACAAAATAATTTATATCAACATTTTCAAATTGATTAGCATAGGAATCATATATCATTTTAAAAAATACCCTCTGTGATGGTTCTTTCCCTTGTCATTTACATTTTATATTTGTTAATTATATTCTTTACATGTTTCTAACTCATCACATTCTGATTCCCTATGTATTCAATTCTCTCCTCACCTTTTCTTTAGGTCACTTTGTTCTCATCTATCTTCTTGAAAGGGATGTATACATTGCTTATTTTCATTCTTTCATTTTTATTAATATAAACATTTAAATCCTTTCTTTGTGACTAATGTTGTTTCATGGGTTTTTAATATGTAATATTTTCAGTGCCACTATTCTCAGAAATTTCAATACATTTCCACAACAACTGAACAGTTGTTTGATAGAAACTTTCTTCATTTCTAAAAGGAAGTACTTTTAATTTACTGATACTGGCATTCATTTATGATTTTATTGTTGCAGTCAAATAAGATGTTTGCATTATTTCACCTTAATTATACATAACATAATTCAGTCACAGGAAATTATTTTTGTTCTTTATCATACAATGTGTATCAGTCACTTTGGATTTTCTTCAGGTTGTTCCCTCATTGATTGCCAATCTCCAGCTAGTTCCACCAGATTGTTACAAAGTGCCTTACACTATTCCCCACCTCCACCTCCCTTTTTTCCCACTTCCTACCTCCACTTTTACATATCATTTCAGCTACAGCTTTACTCAGAACTGCATAAGCCTTAAAATATGGTATATACCTATTATAATGTCTAAAACACTGATATTTTGGGGGCAATATAGCAATGGTTAGCTTTGAGTATAAGAAAATGGAGTATTTGGGAAAGAGCATGAAGGAAAATATGTAAATATAAACTAGGATTTCAGTAGGATAGATGAATAATAGTGACAATACTACTGAAGAGAAGTAAATAAAACATTTCTTTATTCATATATGGGATAAACTCATGAGTATGCATAGGAGGAAATTAATAGCAATGATGGAGACAATATGTGTAAGTAGAGAGGCAATTAGAAGACAATCATTTATAAACACTATTATATATATACATATATCTTACTATATTAGAAATTTCATATGTATATAAATTTGTGTATATAAAATCACTGTAGTGTAGTGTGATATTTTTAAAAGCATGGCAGCATGCTGTAACTATTGCACTATTCTTATAGTTACTTTGATAGTTGTATTCTCCAGTGACATGTTTGTAATATTTGCTTTTATTCTTAAATTCCTTTCAACCAGTGATTTGCTTTTCTTCTAACTGTCAACTACTATGACCTTGAGCCTTGATATTCAGTGGCACATAAAATAAATGATTTTGTCTTTTTGCAGTTTAAGGAATAAGGAAATAAATAGTATGAATGACAACAGAGAAAATTTCAGAATACAAAATTGAAAAAAAAAAGGGTATGAGGGCAAGGAACTAGATATTGGAATAGAGATGGATATATGAACTTATATAGAGTCAGCTAGTAGTACATCATTTCTGAGGGTACTAACTTTTAGACCTGGACAATGAAAAGGAGATGGTATATAAGGAGTCTGTTTCTGAGAAATGAAACATCTTGTGGGTATCTCTAAATGACAGGAAATGTGGTTTGATGTAGGAGGTGAAAAAGGTTAGGTGAAAGGGGATAATGGATTAAAGCACTGTCTTACAAGCAGAACCTTGTTATCCATGGTAAAGTATTAGGATTATATTATAAAAGAAAAATCTCAGAAAACTGTTAGAATGTATAGGTTATCAAATTTTCATCTGTATTTGCAGTATCTCTACAAGATAGCCGATAACTAAATTCCACATTTGTAAATGTTAATTCAGTTTATCTGGATTATGGATTAGTTCATGCACATCAGTGTTTGAGAAGTTTACTAGGTGATAATCCAACACCAAAATTTCAGACCCATTGCCAATCCATATCTCTTATCACAAACTTCACATCCTTATTCTTATCCTTCTCTGAGCTCTCTTTACCTTTCTTCACACTTTATAACAATATTTTAATCATTCATTTATGCTGTGAATTATTTTCAGCTTTTCTACTGTGCATTTTATAACTTTTATTTTTGTGGTACATGAAAAAAGAAATTGTTTTCTTCCCCCTTTCTTTCAGACTTGGAATCCAAGTATGACACAAAGACTTTATCTGTAGAAAAGGACATTCTTGAAAAAAATAATTCTCAGTGGGAAGTAATAGAAAACAGTAAATTAGTTGGCCTTCAGAATTCCATTTTTAGAAATGATTGGCAAAACAAAAGGAAGATTGAAGTACAAAGACCTGAAGTGGGATGTTTCAGTCAAATAAAAATCATCTCTGAAAAGGTGCCCAGTTACAAAAATCACAAATTTCTTACATTACATCAGAGATTTCATGATAGCAAGAAGCCCTTTGAATATAAGCAATATGGGAAGGTCCTTAGTTGTGAATTAAGCGTTGATGAATATGAGAAAATACATAGTGGTAAAAAAACCTCTGAATGTAGTAAATATTGGGAAACCTTTGGAGTAGATGACCCCCATACCCTACAACTGAATATTCATACTGGTGTGAAACCTTGTAAATGTATGGAATGTGGGAACGTATTTAGTTTTTATGAAGACCTTAGTGTACACCGTGATGATCAGAAGTGCTATAAATGTAAGGAATATGGAAGGACTTTTAGAAGAACTGAAGAAATCACTTCATTTCAAAGAATTGATGATTGTGAGAAACCACATGAATGCACTTTTTGTGGGAAATCTTTTAGAGTGCATGCACAACTTACTAGACATCAGAAAATCCATACTGATGAGAAACCTTACAAATGTATGGAATGTGGCAAGGATTTTCGATTTCATTCACAGCTAACCGAACATCAGAGAATTCATACTGGTGAGAAACCATACAAATGTATTCAATGTGAGAAGGTCTTTAGAATTAGTTCACAGCTTATTGAACATCAGAGAATTCATACTGGTGAAAAACCTTATGCATGTAAACAATGTGGGAAGACTTTTGGAGTCTGTAGAGAACTTGCTCGACATCAAAGAATTCATACTGGTAAGAAACCCTATGAATGCAAGGCATGTGGAAAGGTCTTTAGAAATAGTTCATCCCTGACCAGACATCAGAGAATTCATACTGGCGAGAAACCATATCAATGTAAGGAATGTGGGAAAGCGTTTGGAGTAGGTAGTGAACTTACTCGACATCAGAGAATTCACAGTGGTCAGAAACCTTATGAATGTAAAGAGTGTGGAAAGTTCTTTAGACTTACTTCAGCTCTTATTCAACATCAAAGAATTCATAGTGGTGAGAAACCATATGAATGTAAGGTATGTGAGAAGGCTTTTAGACACAGTTCAGCCCTTACTGAACATCAGAGAATTCATACTGGAGAGAAACCCTATGAATGTAAAGCATGTGGGAAGGCCTTTAGACATAGTTCATCCTTTACAAAACATCAGAGAATTCACAATGGTAAGAAACCCTATGAATGTAAGGAATGTGGTAATGCTTATAGTATGGGCAGGCACCTTACTTGATACCGAACAAGTTACACTAGGGAGGAGTCTTTTGAATGAAAGACATATATAAAGCCTATTTGTTTCTGAGTTTCACTGAAAACAACCTGTGTATTGACAAGATTCAATCTCTTTTAAATCTGTTTTCAGAATTTATGGCCATTCTAGAAGCAGAATTGTTCATTCATAAGTGATAAATACTTTCAGCTTTGTTCAATATTGCCAAATATTTCTCCTTTTTATATCAATCAACATTCTGAATATCCATTCACATAGGATGGTCCCAGTTAATCCATTTTTTAAATGTGTGAGAAATGTATTCCTGTAATTATCAATTATTTGAGTTATTTTCATATGAGTTTATCCATGGATGTTTTGCTTACAGTTACTTTTGGTGCTTGTGTTTTTTTTTTTTTTTGGACTATTTATTGTTTTTGGCTTACTGTTCTGTAATATTGCTCAGATATATCTTTTGCATTCTAATTTTTTGCTTGTTATATATGGTATACTTATCTTCTCCAAAGAGCCAGAACTCTCAGATACTATGTGGTTTTAAAGTATTGTGGTCCTGTGTTTGTGTAGATTTGTTTTGTTTTCTATTGATTTTGTTTTAATGGTAGATGTTTAAACTTTCCATTATCATCAAATGTTTGAGTTCTTTTTGAATTTCTATGTTGTTTTGACACAACAGATTTCCCTAAATACCTCCTGCAACACAATTCCTTTAAGGAACCTTTTCACCTCTAGGCAGTACCAGTCAGGATCCAAATGAAATGGCATATTAAATATTTCATAAAATATTCTAACCCAATCTTAGCAGTCTCTTAGTAGCTTTAAATGGAGGGGAAACTTTACAGCTATTGCAAGGATTAGAAATTGATCACTAAACTTAAATAAAGAGGGTCTATAAACACTACTATTGAATGGCTTTGATTGGGTTTTATAACTATAATTTTCCCTGTTATTCCCACTCAGTGTTGTCTTACTGTGGTTGGCGGTTGGACTATCAGTAGACCTTTGATTTTAGCAGTCTCAGCTGACTCAGAAAAAAAAAAAAAGACGAAAAAGAAAATAAGACAGTTAATAAGGTTGCAAATCTTAACCACCCATCATCTCTTTCTTAGGACAGTTGACCTGGTTGTTAATCAAAGTGATCAAAAGCCACACTGATTATTAGATTTTTTATAATAATATTTACCTGTTATATTTATATATATTTACATCACTATCATTCATTAGATTCTAATTTTTGAGATTGGTGCCCTGCCCAGTTTTGCATGATCAGCAGTAGTAAGTAAGCTGTTTTCTAATTGGGTATATTGAGCTATGCTTCCCTTACATATTAATTATTAGTATTTTATTTAAACTAGCAGTTAATAAAAGTATATAACTGATAGTTCATGCCCTACAGAGTAAAAGAATGAGTCTCTGTTACTACCCTTATTAGGATACTTGCTATTTCATATCTTTGAAATAGTTCAATTGTATTATAATTATTAATATTGTTACTAATACCTCACTCTACTTACTGAGCTATCATGTCACCACACTGGTGAGTTACTCTTCTATCCTACTCCACCTAGTTATTCTAAGTTACCATCAGTGCTGATTAATTTCCCTCTTCTTGAGTAGTACTCCAGAACTACTTGCCCCACACTTCTTCATGTGGTTTAATATTTTTTGCTTGCTTGAACAAATTAAAACAGTGAGCTATCTAAACCTTATCTACAAACTTAAAATTAATGACAAGTAAAATAAACAGGTGTCTTGACACTTATTTTTTGAAACACTAATAAATTAAAAAATTAATATAACATATTCTTATTGTCTCCCTTATTTGTAATTATAGCTACATTTTGGAAATATATCATTAATATTTTTCTTTGAACTTTGTTATGAGCTCCTGTCACTTCACAGTCTGCTAATCTGATAAACCAGAATATAATTATTGTTGTAAACTGTTGTTTTTGATTCTTGCTCATGGTGCTTTAGTTGACAAAACTTTACTTGTTTCCATTTTGTTTTTTTTCATTTCCTCCTTTATCCTTTCCACATGTTCCCTACACTACTTGGAAGCTTTGCTTTTTTTTTCCCCCTAAATACAAGGAGATGTTCCTGACCTATCCTGTTTATTGCTGCCATGAACCATGAAATTAGCTACCCCAAAGAAGGAATTCTGGTTCAATTTAATGAAGAAGAATTCTACTTTATAAAGGGAATGAGGAAAATAGAAAATCACCATAATTTTATAATTATATAAAAAAATCCATTGATGGATGGTAAATATGAAGGTGAAAGTATAAGGGGAAAATGGGTTATTAGAATTATCTCATAATATCTCTCCCAAGTATTTAATTACAAAGATAAAACATTGCATACAGCCCCTTTACCCAAATAATCACCAATAGTGACATTGGTATCAAGGTGATTCACTAAGAAGGGCAAATACTTGGGTAGTATTCTCACCAAAACATGCATGTGCTATGTGCTAAGTCACTTCAGTCATGTCCAACTCTTTGTGACCCTATGGACCATAGCACACCAGGCTCCTTTGTTCATGGGATTCTCCAAGCAAGAATACTGGAGTGGGTTGCCATGCCCTCCTCCAAGGGATCTTCCCAACCCAGGAATCGAACCCGTGTCTCTTACGTTTCCTGCATTGGCAGGCAGGTTCTTTACCACCTGTGCCACCTGGGAAGACCAAAACATGCATAACTATGTCCTAATAATGAGGGAACTGCAGGCAGATCCAAAATGCAGAACCTTTTGTAAAATAACTTGCTCAGTTCTCCAAAAGTTCATAACCTTCCCAGGTTATAAAAGGAAAGGGAACAAAATACAACATAGGATTATGAATTCAATTTTTGGAAAATCAGTGGAGAAAACTTGATGGAAGCCAATCAAGGCCTGTCATTTGTTTGATAGTATTGTGCCCAATGTTAATATCCTGGTTTCCATCATTATACTATGGTAATGTAAAATGTTAGTATTAGGCAAATTGGGAGAATGGTATATGGAAGCTCTGCTTTCTTTCAATTCTTAAGCACAGAATTTTTTTTCTTTTAACATTGCAGTCAAAAATGGGAATAATACAGGCTGGATTTACCTTCCAGCCTAAAATAACAAAACACTAGATAAAATATGAGATATACATGATTTCAGAATAAAATGTTAGTATTAGGCAAATTGGGAGAATGGTATATGGAAGCTCTGCTTTCTTTCAATTCTTAAGCACAGAATTTTTTTTCTTTTAACATTGTTTGCAGTCAAAAATGGGAATAATACAGGCTGGATTTACCTTCCAGCCTAAAATAACAAAACACTAGATAAAATATGAGATATACATGATTTCAGACATTGGACACCAGACAACAGAATGGTCATGCCTAACGAAGTATAAACAAACAAATGTCCATACATTTGACCCAGTGTACTGTTTAGAGAGCATTCCCACATCTCAGCACTGGGAGGGGTAATATAAAGATTTGTAACTCCCTTAAGTAGAAAAGATGGAGCTGAGATTCCAGGGAGGCAGTGATGGCTAAAGTTTGCAGGGCAGAGTATTCAGTCAAGTTCTAATCACTTCAGAGGATTAAGGAGACCACCTATGACCAGCAAAAGAAATGCTTAAGAGCAAAGGCAATCCTTGGAGCTCACATAGGGTCAGGAATTGTTTGTGTCCCCATGAACAAGAATGGTAAACTTCATAATTCACAGGGTACTGGTTAGATTACTCAAAAAGCTATTGCCTCAGTAGAGAGGCAAGCTAGCACTAGACTAAGGCTTTCCTGGTCCCACCCAGCAGAGCTTAAAGCAAATCTTGAACAAACTGTTCTCAAGTATCATCAGTATATTCCAGAACAAAACTTGAGTATATTTATAGAAATGTAAAAATACCAAGGATATTGAGGGTAACTTTCATACTGTCTGGTAGCAAATAAGTTTTATAAGCAGGCACACATGACTATAATAAGTAGAAAAATCAATAGAAATACATCCAGAAATGACAAAAATAGATTTTGTATTTGATTTACAAGATTTTGTATTTGTTAATAGATACTAGCAGTACAAAACTATATCCTGCATGTCCAAAAAGGAACAAGAGAGACTGATCTTGGTAAGTACTGATGTGGAAAATATTTAAGACTCAAACAAATCAAGAGGTTAAAAACAACAGTGTCTGAGAATACAGTTAATAGGATTAATCAATTAAACATTCCAAAAGCAAGCATTACTAAACTTAAAGACATAGCAATAAAAACTATATAACTGAAACAGAAAAACAGAATGAAAAGAGAGCTGTGGGACAACTTCATCTAGCCTAATTATGTGTAGTAGAGATCCCTGAAAGACAGGAAGAATGGGCAGGGGACAAAAAAATAATTGAAGAAATAATTGCTGAAAACTTTCCAAATTTGATGAAAACTGTAAACCCAAAGATCTAAGTTCAACCCATCCCAAGCACAAGTAACAAGGCAGAGGGGAGTGGCAGTGGGGTCGGGGAGGCAACTATTCCCAGGGACTCATAACTACATTGATTAAAATCCATGATAAACAGGGAATCTTAGAAGCAAGGGAAAAAAAAACCTCACATGTGCAGAAGAGCAAATATAAGAAAGAAACTGCAAGTTGGAAAAATGAAGGTCAACTGGACTGACCTTGGGATTTGAGGAAAAACCCAGCCCACTGGTGAGTTCCCTGGTGGAGAACTGGGTGTTTTGTTGTTTTGTCTTCCCATATATTCCAATCTGAGCACCTAAGAAGCTTGAAATTAGAAATGTCACCAAGTGCAAATAACTACCAAAACCCTAAACAATAACAAAAAAACAAAACATCCGAAGTATACTTGCTTTTCCTATCAAAAGGGCTGAGAAGGTTGCTGACCTGCAGAACAAAACCCTATTGACAATGCCAACTCTACACTAGCTAAACACTTTAAAAATACCAATCTTTTACACTATTATACATGACACCTAGCAACACCATCCTCCCTTTTTGCCAGTAAGTATCTGCAGAGGCACATGCAGATGCTATGTGTGTGAACAGAAACCTGACAGCCATCCTTGCCCATTAATAATGGGCATCTATAAAGACTGTATGTATGAGTGGAACATTGACTGCCATCCTAGCCCAAGGATCACGAAGCACACCTCATTTCCTGGCTGGCAGGTCCACTGAGAGGGTGTAAGTATGACTGGGGCATTGATTGTTGTGACTCGGCACTTATTCCTCCCCTTACTATCTGGTAGGCATTTACAGAGGCAATATGTAAACTATCACTCCAGATGCAGCAGTAACATGCACCCCAATGTTCACAGCAGCACTATAGTATTTATAACAACTAAGATATGGAAGCAACCTAAGTAAGTGTCCAGATGAACGGATAAAGAATGGATAAAGGAAATATGGGGGATACACACACACACACACACACACACACACACACACACAATGGAACACTACTCAGCCATAGAAAAGAATGAAATTTTGCCATTTGGACCAACATGGATGGACCTAGAGGGGATTAGTGAAATAAGTCAGACAGAAAAAGATGAGTACTGTAGGATATCACTTATTAAATAAAACAAATGAATAAATATAACAGAAACTCACAGATACAGAGGAGTAGGGGTTACCAATGAGAAAAGGGAAGGGGGAGGAGCAAGCCAAGGGTAGGGGATAAAGATATACAAATTACTATGCATAAAATAAATAAGTTGCAAGGATATATTGTGCAGCACAGGGAATATAACCAATATTTTATAATAACTTTAAATGGAATACCTATAACTAATACAATATTGTAAATCACTATAGATCAATAAAACAGTATTTTTTAAAAATGAAATACCTAGGAATAAATTTAACCAAGGAGGTTAAAGACCTGTACACTGAAAACTATGACTTTGCCAAAACAAACTGAAGGAGACACAAATAAATGGAAAAAAATCTGTGCTTATGGGTTGTAAGAATTAATATTTTTCAATACCCATATTACCCCCAAAGATTTTTCAGATTCAACACAACTATATAAAATGTCAATGGCATTTTTCACAGAAATATAAAATAATCCTGATTTTAAACTGTAGTACAAAGCCTTAGGAATCAAAACAGTGTGGTATGGGCATAAAAACTGACATGTAAATCAGTGGAACAGAATAGAGAGCCCAGAAACAAACTCACACATTGTTATAACTAATGAGAAAGAAGCCAAGAATATACAATGGGAAAAGGATATTCTCTTCCACAAGTGGTGCTGGGAAAACTGGACACAAGGATATTCTCTTCCATAAATGGTGTTGAGAAAATTGGACACCACGTGTAAATGAATGAAACTGAGCCACTGTCTTACACTGTACACAAAATCAACTCAAATGGATCAAGGAATTGAACATAAGACCTGAAATCACAAAATTCCTTAATGAAAAGGGGGGTAAGCTTTCAAACTTCAGTCTTAGCAATTATTTTTTTGGATTTGACAACAAAAGTAAAAATAAACAAGTGGGACTACATCAAACTAAAAAGTTTCTGTACAGCAAAGGAAACAACAAAATGAAAAGGCAACCTATGGAATAGAAGAACATATTTGCAGATTACATATCATATGGGGGTTAAATGGAAAATATATAAAGTTCATACAACTCAATAGCAAAATAATAATCCAAATAAAAACTGTGTAGATGATCTTAATGGACATTTTCCAAAGAATTCTAACAAATGACTCACACACACATGAAAAGATGTTCAACCTCACTAACCATCAGGGAAATACAACTCAAAACCAGAATGAGATACTATCTTACATCTGTTAAAATAGCTATTATCAAAACGACAAGAAATAACAGGTGTTGGTGAAGATGTGGAGAAAAGGGAACCCTTGTGCACTGTTGGTAGGAATGTAAATTGGCACAGCCACTAAGGAAAACAGAAGTTTCTCAAAAAGTTTAAAAATACAATTATCATAGAATTGAGTAATTTCACTTCTGGGTATTTCTTGAAGGAAACAAAATCATTATCTCTAAATGATATCTAGGACTCTAGAGCCCATGAGCCCTAACTACTAAATGAAGCCTGCACTCTGCAACAAGAGAAGCCACATGCATTGCAATGAGGAGCTCATGCACTGTAACTAGAGAGTAGCCCCCACTTGCCACAACTAGAGAAAGCCCATGTACAGCAGGTAAGACCCAGTGGAGTCAAAAATAAAATTTTAAAATAATTTTAAAAATTAAAAAAAAAAAAGAACTTAAACTACTTGATGTGCAGCAAAAATGAAGGAAATGAAGCTTGGAATATTTCCCACTTAAAATGGGCCCCTGCACTGTACGGATCTATATAGCAGACTACTGAACTCAAACTCACTTTAAAACAGTGCTCACAGAAGAAATGACACTCACACCAGGACAAGAAGACAACATCAGAAATAAAAAGCTATCCCAAGATTCAGAACCTGACCTGTATGATTATTTATAGTGTTCTCTTGATATACTGGACTTTTGCATATGAATCAAATGTTTTCTATCACAGGCAAAATGCTATGCAGAATTTAAAAATTAATCCAACTGTTGAGCTTATGGTCAATCACTTATGTCCAGTACTTCTGAGTTACCTTGGTGGATTTCTCCTCTCCAAGGCAATGACTTGATAGCCCTTGGGAAATTTATTGTAGAAGAAAGAAGTTATTGTTCTGTTTGAGCCACTATTGATATTACTAGATGGAACCCCCTCAGTTGGCCAGTCAATCACACTTGCTCTGACCCTAGCCATAAATATGAATTTTCTTTCAAAGTTACTCAAGCTCAGAGCAATGAGCTAAATTTCAGTGAAAGAATATAAATTCCCAATTATGAGAAGGGATCCTCCTTCTGTTTTGTGATGGCTTTACATAGCTAAAAGGCTATGGTCATTTAAGTTAACAGAACAATGTGTTTGTTGGGAACAATTAAATCATACTAAAGATAATCAGCTTAATAACACTAGGAAATTAGGCTGAGTGCCTTATGAACAATGCTTATATATCATTACCTTTAAAGACAGCAATTGGTAAGGAATAGACTGGGTCAGATGACTAAGAATATACTGGGCCATGCTGAATGGAAGTTCTTGGTTTAAATTCTTAGTTATGATCTTATTAATGCTACTAGTTGTTCTACTTATACTCTGCCCATTTTACAACGTTATTGGTTTTTGCATTACCAAATGTGTGACTGAGCCTCCAATAAAGATAATGATGACTATGCAACTTGAACAATTAACCAAATATAGTTTTACATATATATATATATATGATCAAAATGATTGTAGTAGTGTAACTCTAGATATGGGAAGAAGCAGCAACAGGGAATCAATTCCTATATGATAACTGACTAGTACAACAGATGATGGTACAGTGAGTTTTATGACTATCATTAACATTGCCTAGTCCAGTAATTCCACATTGGGGAAAGATTGAAGGTGGGAGGAAAAGGGGATGATAGAGGTTGAGATGGTTAGATGGCATCACCGACTCTACGTGAGTTTGAGTAAGCTCTGGGAGTTGGTGATGGATGACAGGGAAGCCTGGTGTGCTGCAGTCCATGGGGTCGCAAATAGTCAGACATGACTGAGCGACTGAACTGAACAACGAAATCCTCACCTGATCTGAACTGAACAACGAAATCCTCACCTGATCTAGGAATGCGTCTTCCGAGCATTGTGGGACAAATTGGTCACAAATGTCTCCCAAACGTTGGTTGAATTTATTACCAAAAAAGGAGAATTGTAAATCACCATCGAGTTCTACAAGAATCAAGTCATTAACCACCACAGTTGTTGACTACAATAAAACATCCTAAAATCATGAAGTCCTTATTGCCAAATTCAGACTTAAAG